CCGTGGCGCCAACCCTGGGGTGGAGGGGGGGGGGGGGGGGGGGGGCTACTAGCATGCTCCCCAGCAGACCACTTCTGGTCCACTTCCGGGTTTGCTGCCGAGCACACAGGGGCGCCCCTGCACTCCTGTGGGACACTCCACCCACCCCCGCATCTCAGTGTTCACAAGCCGTGCTGGTACCTCGAGGGATGTAGAAAAAAAAACATTTAAAGCTCTGTCTATGGCCAAATTGCCGATTCTCCAAATCAGCATCAAATCTTCAGTTTCAGCCAAATCAAATCGGGGACACTGATCCGAATCAACAAATCAAATCGCTGTCCCTGATTCGAGCCAAATCCAAATCAAATAGGGCCCGTTTCACACACCCCTATTAACCATATTAGTCTGAAGTCAGGCAGAAGACTGGGCAGGGTGGCACTATACAGACTAAGTGGTTCAGAAAGGTAAAAGCTTTCCTAGGTGACTATCTATTAGGCTATCTGTAGCAGGAGGGGGGGCTTCTAACCCCTGTTATTTTAAGAGAGTGAATGAGCAGCATAATAGGGCTGCAATCAACAGGCAGCTAAAACAGAGCTAGCTGCCAGAAAGTAAGCCACTGAAGAAGCATAAAGATAGGAGCCACAAGGTTACAGTCAACTACTTGGGAGCAAGCTGCACCACAATAGTTAATGAAGGGCAGAGCTCCAGATAGGTAGTGACTGCAGTGCAGTGGGAGCAGTCTGATTATGAGGCAAAGGGGAACCCCTGTGCATGGCTGGGAAACCACTTGACAGGAAGTGGCGGTGCTAGGGAGAATATATACTCGGCTCCTGAGCCAGTGCTGCCAGTCTTGCCCTGACAGCTGAAGGTGAGGGAGCTCCTGTGAGCATAAGTTGCAAGAGGGAGAACTCCTGATCTAGAAAGGTCCTCTTAAGGTTGTGTGGGGAGCCAGCTGATTAGGGTTTAGCAATAGTGTAGAGACCAGGGAGAGAGGACCAAGGAACTGGAGAATAACATCTACACCATTGCCTACAGTTACACAGAGTTGCCTAGTGTTTCCAAGGTACCTTCTTGTAACAAGAACACTGTAAATTCCTTTTTAGTTAAAAAATATGTTTCAAGATTTGGTTTTAAAATAGAGCAGGAGCTCACAGGGTTTTGACCAAGATCAATTAAGAGGCCAGAACAACTTAAGAACTCTGTTTCAGGCTGTCTGTAGACCCAGGCAGGCATTATTGCATCAGATCAAAAGTGGGGAAAATGCATTTTCCCATTCTTCTCTCACTAAAAGCAGTAGAATTTTCAGTCAAATTTCCATAATTCACTTTGAGGCAGAGGCCAAGTATGCGACATTTCATTCCAAAAGCTAAGCCAGTTACTTCCAGTAAGTACATTCATATGCTATATATACCCATTGTAATTTCTTAATCACAACACTGATTTACAAAAGACAGTTAACCTTCTTTTGGGCCAATTACTCTGCAACTGTTTTATCCTTTTATGCTGCCTGATTTGTCCTGAAGAGCTGATATCTGGCTGTAGATGGCCAGCTATGGAGTGTTCTCCTGGGTTTTAGCCTGTTACCAGAACTTTTTAGGCATTTTGACATTAGTCTTTGGTAGAAGTGGTAAGTATCACTGGAGACAGGAACCAGGGTGTAGTAATCCAATCTATTTCTGTGCTTTTGCTGTGACTCTCTAAAGCAGAGGTGGGCAAAATACGGCCCGCAAGCTGGATGCGGCCCGCCAGGCCATTCTATCTGGCCCATGAGGCCCCTTAAAAATGTAGAAAATTAATATTTATCTGCCCTTGGCTGCCTGTCATGTGGCCCTTGATGGCTTGCCAAAACTCAGTTAGCGGCCCTCTGCCCAAAATAATTGCCCGCCCCTGCTCTAAAGTAATCATGGTCTTGGAAATCATTTGTGAAAATTAAGCAAGCACAGAATGGGCCTGAAGCTAGGTTGTTATACAGGTTTCCTTCGCTTTATGCTGTACACTCATTCCTGGAAAACGGCACATAACTCAAATTTGCATAAAGGGAACCAACTTTACAATGCAACAAATAGGGATATGTTACAAGACCTCACCTGTACTGACCCCCAGACCTGTTTCTACCACTTTTACAAGACAATTTTGGTATTCACCAACAGCAAAGAGTACACATGAGCACAAGGCACTATCATAATGGGGATGGCAACTACAGAAACATGCGTCGCAGACAACGAGCAAGGAGCACAGATCCACACAGGAGACTATATTTTGGTGTGCATCACTCCCACAATGCATAGCACAAAGCAGCTGACTGCGGGCTTCCATCGTATAACAAATTTTTGGTATAAAAAGGGCCATTGTATAATTGCACAATGAGCAAATTCGCACATACACAACCCACATAAAGCGAAGGAAACCTGTACAGAACTGAACTGGAATGAAGCGTTCATGTTTTCAGGTCTCCTTTTGAGATGTGCTGCTTATCCGTAAAAAAGACTGTTCCCCAGAGAAGCAAACTGGGACCTAGGACTCCACTTGCCCACTTCCTGGCCTTAACTACTAGGCTATTAGGTAAACTCTCCCCTTATGCTCATCAAAGAGTTGCTGTGCATGGTTTTTCTTCAGCTAAGGATTTGGGGCCTTGCACAAAATTTATGTGCATTCCAGAAGGAACAGACTTGCAGCAGTGAGTGAGTGCAGATAGATACCCACTTGGTTGTACTGGACTGCTTCTGGGCATGCATAAGAGGCCAAGTTTATTCACATGGGGAACCTTCCAAACTAAAATGGACGCACATAAATAATCTAGGCACCTTAGTGGGATTTTTGGTTGTTGTATGGAGCAGACTGAGATTCTATTTTGTGACTGAGATAATGAAAAACTGCATAAGCGCCATGCAGAGGTTTAGCAGTAGTATAATCACTAATAACAAAGTACTATGCTAATATTATACTTTATAAGTATCACATTATCTATACTAAATAATATTGTATTATACTAATAATCAGGGCCATCCCTAGGAGGTGGGGGGTAAACAGGCGTGACCGCCCCGGTGCCCCACACACCGCTAGGGATGGCTCTGCTAATAATCACTATCAATATTTTAAATAAATCAAAAGCAATAATTATCCACTGAAGTAGTAATTAGTCTTCGCCATAAATCAATGTATTATTTTAAAGTGATCAGTAATGTGCCAGTCACTCAATTTTTAAGCAAGATGTCAAGGTCCTAGCCCAGAATGAAGCATGCCAGAATGAAGCATGTAACCAAAAATCAGAATGAAAATTATTATGCAATTTAGTAATGATGTGGTTTAAATTTGAAAGTAATTTAAATTTTAAAGTAATCAAAAGGGTGGATTTTATCTGAGTATGAATTAAGACACGCCCCATTTGATGACCTTCTATGGCAAACTTCGCATTAAAAAGAAACTATATCAGATTAGTGAAATAGCTATATTTCCGTTTTGCATTTGCATGGATATATCATTGTGATTAAACATTCATACTCTCCAAGGATAAAACGTATCATTGTTTAAACAAAATGAGCCAAATTGTATTGCATCAGCTAAATGTATTTAAAGTGACATAAATACCTTCTTCTCCTTGGACTGGTTCCTCCAGTAGCAACTCTGTCATGCATTCCCAGTCTTTCAATAGTTCTTGAGAGCTCTCCCACAAACTGTCCACCAAGTAAGCTGCATGCTCATGCAACTAAAAATAAGAAGTAAGTCAATAAAGCTTTTGGATTCAGGCATGGCTTCCACAACTACAAGTATTTGGATGAGAATAGTATTGTTTCTTGTTGATCAAGGCTTCAGTAACAGTGGGCAGCAGGGGGGGCAAGTATTCTATCCAAGTAGATGTTTATTTTCTTTCAAGCAACTTTTATTAACCGCACACTACATGCACGTGGAAGTACAAGTTAGTTGTAGTACGATGTATGATTTAAATACTAATAATACTGTTAACAATCTGAAAATGCATGCAAGAATTCATTTAATATATTACAACTCTACTGCTAGAAAAGTAGAACCAATATTTAATAGCAGGATCCCAGCAACAGCAACTGTACTTTATAATTTAAGAATCCTTTTAATTATGGATGTAGAAGGCTGTAAAGCAGTGGTCAACCAGCTCTTCAGAGCTAGGGGCTTGCATGCTGGTGCACTTTTTCTCTGTCGTCACTTCTCCATGCACCCCAGCTGCAGCGTAGGAACAGCTGCTCATTGCCCAGCCTCAGGTCAAGAGAAGCTAATTTCCCCGTCCCTCACACCTCCCCTTAGTCCATAGGCCAGATCTAATGGCTCTGTGGGCTGTATTCTGATGCTCACTGATGTAAAGAATTGAAATTTTAGGTACAGTCATCCACCTTTTCATTATACCTGTTGAACAAGAACCTCAGTCCTAGGAATGGACACTGCTGAATTAAGCAAGATCAGATGTGCTGTAAAGCATCACAGCATAGCTGATCCATTTTGTTGGATGAAATACACATTCCCTTGTCTTGCCCTTGATGATTCAGGACAAGGGGTGATAAGATCCTCCCATTTTCCATGCTCAGCCAGACCCATCCCCTGTGATCAGAAGAGTGGTTCTGGTTGAGTGGGGAGCCCCAACTTCCCCTCTTATGGACAGGCACCCTGAGATTCTCTGGGGTGCCTTTCTGTAAGTTGCTGACATAAGTCAGCAAGTGCTCCAGGGGCTTGAAGGGCACTTAAACCCTCAGAGCACCAGCCTGGGTGGCTGGAGAGGAGGAGCAGCTCAGGCTGCCCATAGTCTCCAGCCACAGAGCTAACAGATGTCTGCCACAATAAAGCAGCAGAGTCTATTACTACCTTTTGTTGTGCCACTGATTTTCATTTGATGTGGTGTGACAAAGTGTAGAGGCATCTATTTGCTCACAATTTGTGCTTCCATAAACATTTTCATGGTGGCAGAAATGAGACCTGAGGTGACCTCTGTTTCCATTCAAGGAACTTTCAGACATAACTCTGTGAAATCTGGACAAATAAAGACTAGGGTTTTCAAAAGGGTTAGGGGACACTGGATTTTCAGAAGTGGTGTCTCCTGGGCTCACTTTCATTGAAGGTAGTCTGCAAACTTTCATTGAATTCACTGAGCACAAAATTGGGTGTAAACTATCAGTTTTTCAAGTCCCTGCAAAGTTTCTTTTAACAATCATGCTCTCCATCTAGCAGAACAGGGAAAGCAGTTTTGATTATACTAGAGACAGACAAGAGAGAGAAACTCTGGAGAGGATTTTGGATTGAGTTTGCTTTATAAGCAAGGGAAAAGAGGATCTAGTGCATGTACTATCATTGGAATTACTGTTTTAGTTAAAATTTGTTTGCAGAAGTTAATCATTTGAAATTAAGTTTCAGGATTTGTTAAATATGTAAAACTGGTAATAAAAATAACTTTTTACCTCACTTTCAAGAAAGAAAAGAACCAACATCCTGATAAGATTTCCATTTGGACTGTTCCGTCCCCTCCTCTTTGCTAATGCTTCTTCTGCTTGAGGGTCATGCC